CCCCCCCCCCCCCTCCCTCCCCAAAAAAAAACACACAAAAGGGAAAAGTACAGTTCATCATCTTTCAAAGCTAAATGAGAAGAAACAAGATCATTTTAGAAAACTAAAGTACCCAAAAAAACAATGCATTTTCTACTTAGCACGACACCATGATTTGATGGAGAAAATTTCTGGGTAGCGTTGTTATCTATATAATTATACTGCTGCATGGAATCAATCCTAAAATCAATGCAATGACAATAGCATTAATGTGGGATGGAAAATAGCACAAAAGGAGTAAAAGTAACATTTATAACCTGTACAGGGAAATGTTAAGCAAAATTCACCTGCTTTGGAGTAAGATTTGCAGAGGTAACAATCACACGGATGCTCTCCTTCCTTTGCAAGACGATCAACTTTGGATGGTGGCAAGCAACACCTTGTTTCTTGCGGTCTTTCCCAAAGGCTATTACCTCAGGAAATGGCGGATACCTGCAGAACACAGTAAATTGAGAGTTATAACTAATGACTTCTGATAGTAATGGTATAGTAGTAAAAAATATGCCTAAAGGTACATACACAAGCAAAAGATTTGGATAGTTAGAATAAGGTGCCGCAGTTCTGCTTTCATGGTTAGCACTCCAACATCTTTGTGCACCATGGCAAGCAATTGTTATTGGTAGGTGGTAAGGCAGTTGGCAGTACGACAAGAACCTGAAAGCTCTTACACTCACTAATTAACAAATGCATCGAGAAACAACCACTTAAATTTAAAACAAAAATTTAATAGAGTACATGAATTCAACTACCAAGAGACATCACTTGTGAAAGTCGCCATAAAAACTCGGACAAGGCTTCCAACGGGATGCAGAAGTTCCGGTAAGGTAACCGTCTTGGGTTCACCAGGAAGGCTAGGACTCATGTTTTCAAGGCGATTAAGAAAGAACATCCTCCCATCAGAAAAGAAACCAATTTCTCCATTTTCCTGAAAATCACCATTGCATCCATTACGCTTATCTTGTTCAAAATTTGTTTTTGAGCCCAGAGGCCTTTCTTCAACCCCATCTTCATCAAGTATACCGTTATTTCGGTCAGAGTTCTTGAAACCAATAATTTCAACTGAATCACTGGTTTCAACATTTGTACTTGAGCCTAGAGGCCTCTGTTCGTTCCTATTCCCATCGATCTCACCCTCGTTTCTGTCAGAATTCTCGGAACCAATAATTTCTGCAGAATGACTAGTCTCTAGAGTCCGCAAACAAGACACGGGATCTACACTCTGCAACACACTTCGGCATTGCCTCAGAAGCACCGTCGCTTTATTAACCAAATCGTTATAATCTATACAACCTCTCTTGGGCATTAAATCAAATACCTGATCTCCAATTCTCTCCACAAAAAATCCAAACCTGCCACTCCTACAATTCCTCCCCGTTCTCTTACTACACCCAAACAAAATCTCATCCCCAACCGACAACTCGGCAACAAAACCTCTCTTAACTCTCCTCCCATTAATTAACACCCCATTCGAACTACCCCTAGCTTCAAAACCCCGGCTTTCAAGCCGAAATCTCCTGCGAATCTCATCAAGATCCGAACTTGGAGACTGAAAAAACCCGTCGATCAAGCAAAGTTTGCGATCGGAGCTATCGAGAAAGATCTGGCAATGGCGCTTGCTGACGTAGCGGCTGGTCCGAGACAAGGCGGATCGGGCGGCGGTTGCGGGTCGGATCCAGAGCTCGGAGGTTAGTGAAGAGGTCTGAGTTTGGGATCGGAGTCTTTTCAGGTTGAGATTGACATTCGAGTTTATTTTGATTGATGGAACTGTTGATTTCCATGAAGAATTGAATGAATGAATGAATTGAATTGAATGAGAGGAGAAAAAAAAAGAATGCTAGGGTTTAATTGCTTAATTTTTCACTCCTAATTCTGGAGGGAAAAAGGATTAGGGTTTTAGCGGGACAATTTTTGGATTGTTGAGTTGTCGTGTCGTACAATAATTCCATCAGTCCGTTACGTCCTTTGAAATTGTTCAAAAGTCCCTCGAATCCAAAGGGTTCCAACAATTTGTTCCCTCAGGTACCGTTTGGCAAAGGGTTAAGTGAGGGGTTAAGGAGACTTAACCCCTTCTTAACCTGCCAAACACAACAAATTTATATAAGGATTAAAGTGAGTTAACCCTCCATAATTTGTCAAACATAAAAAATATAGAATGGTTAAGTTAACCCCTCTAGAGGGGTTAAAATAAGTTAACCCCTCAAAATGAGGGGTTTACTAATACTCCTATTTAGATGGAATAAGAGTTAACCCTTCTAATTGTAAAGAAAATAGTCAAAATCATTATTATTCCCAAACATTAAAACTGATCATAAGGGCTAAAATAAAACTTATTTAACGGGTTAATAATTTAGTCATTCGGATTATTAAATGGGCTAAGTACATTAATCCTTCTCTTTAACCCCTCTTCATTAACTCTTTGCCAAACGGGGCCTCAATGCTCAGAATAATCCCGCATCTAATGTTTTCTGGACAATAGAGATTTCCCGCGGGTTGGGTTTATTTTTTAGAAGAAATTTTCATTGTAGACCCATTCCCATATTTAATCCCCAAAACCGACCCATTTTAAATTTATTTGTAAGAATCGACCCATTTTGAGTTAATTACGGTACTAATTAGTCGGGATTGCTAACCCCGGCTAATTAGTAGCCTAATTAGCAGCCGTAAACCTTCCCTGCTACCCGATCTCGCTTGTAATTAGGCTACTAATTAGTCGGGGTTGGCAACCCCGACTAATTAGTACTGTAATTAACTCAAAGTGGGTCGATTCTCATAAATAAATTTAAAGTGGATTGGTTTTGGGGATTAAATCTCGGATTGGATCTACAGTGAAAATTTCTTCTTATTTTTTATCCTGAGATTATATCACAAGACCCTTTCTGTCACGCCCCGCTTCCCGAAATACCCAGGGAACGGGACGCGAGCAAGCCCGCGACGTATTAGACTGAGGAGAAATAAGTACTAGACCCCTTATGCTCAATCTAATACGCTAAGCGTCAAGCAAATATAAAGTGAAGGCACAGGTCCCCAAGCACAGTAGCGAGAATATAATAAACAACTCAGAATATAAAATATACATATCACAACTACAATATCATCCCCGGGTCAACATGCCCTTATACAAAACGATCTGAATGAAATACTGGAGAATATAAAAATACACTGATCAAATGGAAATGGAAGGTAGTACAAAAGAAAACTAAGACTAATGACTAAGCTTCGGCTTCTTCTTCTGTTCTGTCTGCAAGACACTCCTGTTGAGAATCCTCTAGTTCCTGGCGATCTCCCAACTGGACCTGTCCTTCCTCTAAGTCTGACGTACACCAGAGAAAACAGGTGTACGTCAGCGTGCATGGCATATGGCAATACCCCACAAAAGAAAAGAACAAACGAAAACCAAAACGGAAAACGATACGGCAATGGAAAATGACAAAGAAACGGGCAACTGGAAATCCAACAAGATCAACCAACAAATCGATCATGCAGCAAACGATCAGAATATCATCCAAGTCACAAGGTCACACAACTAGATGAAATTAATACTTAAAAATCTACAACTCGAGACGTAGTACGTCGAGCGAAATAATCAAAACAAGGAAACCCTCATGTATATACCATATGTCTCGAATTATAGATAATTAAATATTAATCTCTATCTATGTATGAAAAGAAACACAACTGGTCTACATCTCACAAGAATCCATAATCATCTAAATAACGAGGTCATGTAACTAGCCATTCTATAACATGTTACTGGTCATACCTCACACAGAGCCAACACTCATATCATTGGATACTGACTGTTCACAAATCCCCTACGTGCATCCAAACCCGCGAAACGGTTCGGTGAGAGGACTACACGCAATCCGATTTCGACCTGGTTCGAACTCAAGCAAAACTCGGGTGACAAAACGATTGCACTGACCAAGTGCGAAACGGTTCACTTGGCCTAACAAACTAACCCAGTGCGAAACGGTTCACTTGGCCTAACAAACTAACCCCAGTGCGAAACGGTTCACTGGTTCTAGTCTGGAAGATACATCAACAGTCTTATCTGATCACATAAACATTAACTTCCCCATCCTAACTCTCTCGTATTTTCTAAGTCAAATATAATCCACATTAAAACTCGGGTTCACCACCTAAACTCAGTCAACACATCCACACATGTCATTAGGTCTGTTCATGACGCACGAGGCCACTAAGTCATGAACTACTAAGGGTTCTCAAACATAACATGGACAATCGATCAATGCAACTAATCATGTGCTATAATATCATGACATATCAGATAATCAAAATTAAGAATTATAAATCATAAACAGCGTCTACATAAATCAGAAAATAATCTTTTTATACATTAATTCATTTTAAATTATTTCTCTTAACCATTAAACTAAATAATTTATTTTCCAAAGTAAAACCCTTTAAATTATTATAATTATCCAAAAATGATTCTTTTGCCGAACTAAATTCTTTTAATTTATCATAATTATTCTGAAAATACTAATTATCATATTATTATGATTTATCTAATATCATTCATCAAACAAATAATTATTAACAGATCTAAAATTACAGATAATTCATAATAAATACAAAAATTTAGATATGAGTAAGTATGATCTTGCCTACGAGGCCAAGGGGCCTGATGACGAGCAGCGGTGCCGCTGCGGAAGCGGTATGACGGTGGTCAACAGCGGACGCCGCGGCCTGGCGCGATCTTGACCGGTCGCTAGGAGCGGCGCGCCTTGCGTCTGACGGTGGGGCTAGCCGCGTTGAGGGGGTTCGTGGACAACGACACGACCTCGGTGTTCGGCCATCGCGGGGGGGTAGCGGCCGAAAGTTGGTGCGTGAAAGCTCTGGAGGACGCGCGCAGCGGCGTGAGCCCAGAGCTAGCCGCGCGGCGTCTGGGACGGTGCTCCGCCGCGTTGACGGCCCCGCAGGCACGGCGAGGGGCAGCAGGGCGAGATGGCTGCCAAGGCGAGGCGACGAGGCGCGAGCCACGGCGGACCTCGCAGCCTGCTGGCAGTTTGGCGCTTGCGGGGATGGCGGCGTTTGAGGTCGCTGATGGCCGCGCCCGGGCTTGAGGCAGTTCGCGCGACGGGTCCAAGTCGGCTGTCTGGGCTAGGCGCTGAGCGCCGTAAGAGACTGGCGGGAGACGTGGCTGTGGAGGTGCTCGGCGCTGGCAAGCCTGCACGCGCGGCACGCGGCTATAGGGCGGTGGGTGGAACTTGGCATAGGAAAAGCGGCCTGCCAGAGAGAGTGCACGTCGACGCGAAAGGCGGGGCACGAGGCACGCGGCGAGGAGGCGGCAGGTCAGAGGAGAGGCGGACTGGGCGTGTCGGCGTCGCTGGTTCAAAGCTCGGGTGCAGAGCGAGGACGAGGGGCGCGCTTGCGGTCCGGGACTCGCGGCGGCGAGCTAAGGTGCGGGGCTGGGAGTGGCGCGCGATTGAGAGAGGGGGAGGCTAGACGGAGGAGGGCGTCGCCGGGCCGTTGCGAGCTCGGAGAAGCTAGGCAGCCGGACTGTAGCCAGCGGCGAGAGAGGGCGGGGTGAGCTGGAGTTAAGTGGTGGCGGAGCTCGATCAAGTCGGAGGCACAGGGGTGACGCATGGCGGCTGATGTCGGCGTACGGGCGCTGGCGGCAGGAGACTTGCGGTCCCGGAGCCCGGTGGCCTTGAGTGATCGAGGCGGCCGCCAGAGGCCTAACGCGGAACGTGCTGGCGGAGGCAGGCTTGGACGTCGGGGGTGATCTCGCCAGCCTCCGCTTGGCTGCACGGCGATCTCAGCCCGGGAGGTGGCAGTCGTCGGTCAGGTGGTGGAGGACGCAGGAGGCAAGGGCGCTGAGGGGAGCGCGCGCTAGTCGCCGTTCGGGCTGCCTACGGACCTGAGGGGAGCTCGGAAAGTGGCCACCGGTGACGAGGGTTGCGAGGCGGTATGGTCGCGAGGTCAGTGTGTGGCTGAGCTTTGGCTGTGGGTCCGGGCCTCGAAAGCATGGAGGGCGTTCTTCGGGTGTTAGGAAGCGAGATGGACGCATAGGATCGAGAGAGAAATTCTTCAGAGAGAGAGAGCAGAGGGACGGCCAAGTGACGAGCTCGAGAGTTACAGAGAGACGAGAGAGATGTAGTAGGCGTCAAAAAATGCTAACTAGATATCCGAAACATAGAAAAATACTCAAAAATGACAGATATGAACTTGTCTCTGTCAGCGCGGACAGTGTTTACCTGCTCTCGCCAGCGAGACAGTCTTTACTTGGTCTTGCAAGTGAGACAGTCTATTACTGTCTCGCCACGCGTAGACAGTGTTTGCTGTCTCGCAAGTGACGAGACAGTCTTTACTGTCTCGCCGTGCGAGACAGAATTTACTGTCTCGCGCGTGAGACAATTTTCAGATGGTCAAAACCGC